GTACGTACGTACGTACGTACGTACGTACGTACGTACGTACGTACGTACGTACGTACGTACGTACGTACGTCGTACTACTCTCTCTCGTCGTCTTCTCTTCTCTCTCTCTTCTCTGCTCTCTCTCTCTCTCTCTCTCTCTCTCTCTCTCTCTCTCTCTCTCTCTCTCTCTCTTTCATTTTACACACGTACAATACGTTTTGTCTTTTGTTTGTTGATCTTGACTCTTCTTGTGTCAAAGCGAGTGGACCTGGATAGCGTATACGCCTCCCGAAAGCAAACCGGCACCCGTCTTTCCTTTATTTTTAGTCGCCGTTCTCAACAGTGAGAAATATATTTCTTTAGGCTAAACCAACGGTCGATGCACAGTTGAAGTTGAGTTGAGCCGAGTTCCTACTCAATTAAGTTTGTGTGTACATATAGGTAGCCGGCACAAACTCTGTTAGGTACGTACGTTACCCTAAGGTACTCTTGTTACGTTACGTCAAATCCAGTCCCAAGCCCGTTCACAAGAGCCTTGGAAGAAGGCGAAAAAAGAACTGGATCTTTAGCTCAGGCCCAGCCCTGGAAGTTTAGGTTCATGGCCCCAGGTTCAGGTCCCGGTCAGTGGCCGACCCAGTAAAAGCCTCCACCCCGAACTGACCTCCAGCGGCCGCTAGTACGCTTCAGTTGGGCTCTTTGCTGTCCGTGTCGTCTATGTTTTCTGTCTCAAGTCTCACCCCCCGACCTTCCAAATCCAATCACTCACCCAACCCAGCCCAGCTCAGCCCAGTTCTAGTTAGCCAACCTCATTCTCGTCTTTCATCTTAATCTTCGCTTCTCCTCTATTTCACTTCTTCTCATACATCAGCAGGTCAATTTTTAAATATCGCTTAATCAATCTCGACGCGTCCTTGCGAATTACCTCGTTACTCCTTAATTCTCAAACGGATCGACGGTCGGTCAACAGTTCCAAAGGTACGCCGTGTCACGATACATTGCATCCATCCCGATGCAATTGTACCTGTTGCTCGCTCGTTTTTCACTATCAATCCTTCAATCCAATTATCCCTCGACGATCCCCATACAAGTCAATTTGAGGTCCCAGTTTGGATGAAACTCGTCGCCAATATTGTCTCCCATCATTCCGACCTTGTCACGTCTATTCCATCAACGACTCCCTTGTGTTGACTGTCTTGATTCGTTGCTGCACCACCTCCCTTGCTACATGTTCTCACTATTCTTGACCAAATACTGAATACCCTCAATTCTCAATGCGAGTCTTACCTGGTCGCTAACATGATTCTCGATCATAGACAACTCCCCGTCGTGAGCCCGCTAGACTTAGCCATGTCCACGCCGGGTCAAGGCACTCAGCCCACAGGGGCGTCGGCCCCTAACCCATCCTCTGTCGACAATAACAGCAACGCCAACCAACCTTCGTCTCCTGCTGAGAACTCATCACCAGCACAACCCGCAACTTCGAACCCAGCTTCAAACAACAGTCCTTCGGCCACGCAGCCGAGCCCATCTGCCGACGAAACACAACCAGCGACTAATGATGCGAGCCAAGCATCCGATAACGCCAGTGCCTCTGAAACAGCTGCACCTGCGCCAACATCTGATAATGCATCGCCTTCTTCCGACCCCTCGCCCTCACCGACGAGCTCCAGCAAGTCAACTCAAGCAAAACCAACTACAGAGGCAGCAGACGCATCCTCAACCGATGAAAGCAATGATCGACAGAGCACTACGGAAGAAAGCGAGGCATCTGCCACTGAAATCACCACATCTGAGGTTTTGTCGACTATTGTCACCGTAACGGGGAGCCAGGGACCCGAAACGAGCATTGTTTTGGTTACCGCGATTCGTACACAGAGAGTTACCGCTACCGAAGCCTCCGCTTCCGCCACCAGTACCGACGATGCTGACGCCATCGGTGGTAGTGGCAGCGGAAATGGAGGTGGTGGTTTGAGCCAGAAGAGCAAAGTTGCTATCGGTGTTGCTGTGCCAATCGCTGCGATTGCCATCCTTGCGCTCCTGGGTCTCTTCTGGTGGAAGAAGCGCAAAACTCGACGACAAGCCGAAGAGGAGCGACGAAAGGAAGTCGAGGATTATGCTTACAACCCCAACGCTGACCCCACGATCCCTGCAGTTGGAATGGCAGATGGTGGCTATGAGATGAGGGAAGATGGCTCTTCTGGGTACCGCGGCTGGGGCAACACTACTCTTGGCTCTACTGGTCGCAAGGCTTCTACTACTCTATCTGGTGGTGTCACTGGAGCCTACTCAGATATTACTTCGCCTACTCGAGGCAACATGTCAGACGGTCGCTCTGGCGAGCCTCTTATGGACGGCTCACACTCGCCAGAGGGCGAAATTCTCGGAGCAATGGGCCCTTCTGCTGCCAACAACCGAGGCGCAGATGTGCATCGTGGACCATCCAACGCTTCCTCCTCTTACAGTGCTGCTGGCCGATCCGATGCTTCGGACCCCATGGGAGTACCATATGGCTCTGGTAACGGGTACTACGACCAATACTCACAGAACCCTTATAGCGACAACGGGCCACAACAGGCAGTCATTCGCGATAACCCGGCACGACGAAACACACGCATTGAGAACCCTTCTCACTACCCACAGCAGAGCGCGGGCATTTCACAAAACTTTTAAACTCTCACTTGATCCGCCGTGCTACCTAATTCGGTCACCACGACTTTTCCTATGTCTCTAGAAAGATACCCACGCCTTTCGATAACTCTCGCTAGGAGGTGGAATATGCACTCGAACGGCGTTTCACACTTCCGGCTTCTCCTTTATTTCATCAGTCACCTATGTTAAATAGGTTGCAACTTAATCACTCACTTTTTCCGGATCCCCTGCGTCCCGCTAGGGGAACCTTTTCCTTTTTGGCTACCACATCTTCAAAACGGAGCATTTCTGGTTCTTGTTTCTTTCTTCCTATCTCGCTTCAAAGGGCACCAATGACAGGGTGGTAACCCTTGGAATATGCTTACATCATGAGGTGGAATCTGTACATATGAGGAACGATGGAGTTATCTTGCCCTCTGTCTGGGATGATTGAAAGGGCAATTATTATTCGCCTGGTAATATTTAGGGTCAAGAGGAAGTGTAAAAAAGTTTATGTCCAAGTTGAAGAGTGGTGGGGATGGTGTGTCAGTTGAGTTGTGTAAGGGGGGTTTGGTGTGGTCTTCTAGAAGTCACCGGTTGAACAATGTTGCAACGTGGATTTATAGAGGTATATAGCAAGCGAATTGACGAAACGTTATGTAACAGTATTTGTATGATCAGTTGTTAACGGCATGATGCAAGTGACGCCAATTCTGAACCCCAAATTGCCTATCATCTACATTTCAATACCTCTTGTCTCTTTGTTTGAGTACACAGTGTATGGATTTAGAACCGTACATCGTTGACATGGGCGTCGCAGAGAAGTAACCTGAGCCTTTATTGAGGCATTTGAGAGAAAAGCAAGGCTTGTTACAGAGATGAAAGTGAGCTTCCCTGGTGCCAATCCTGGTCGACAGATACCTCGAGTGGCCGGTCTCTCAGTTCTTGTATGGATGCCAACGCCCATTAAGCCAATACTAACCATTCTATGGCACTCTTTGGATGAGGGACACGAAAAGACATGTAAGACAATTCTGGAATTTTATGATCTGATGATAGTCTCTGAAACTAAGTTTTGCAGCAGCACACAGCGGTACAGTCTCTGGCTGCGTGAATGTTCTCTGGTACACCAATGTCCTTCGAAACCAACGGACAAACGCCTAGAGATAGAAACCTTCGAAGCAACAATATCGCAAAAACAAAAGTGCACATAACCAGTGCTATAACTCCAAGCCTTCCAAACTCCAGGCTTAAGGCAAGTAGATTAGGGGGAATGAAATGCCTCTACTCCACGAGGAAAGGCCTTTGCAAAATGTGAGACCAAGCACTTGCCTGTCTTTGAAGCGATCAGTGTCCCTTAAGGGACTCCAGCATGGCCAACTCCTTACGTCGTTTCTTCTCTGCCCATTCCCGGCTCGCAATTCTAGAGCGCTCCGCAGCCTGCTCACGAGCAAGGCGTGTTGCTTCTTCACGTTCGCGCCTCTCACGCTCTCTGTCTCGTGTGAAGCTTGTGTTGTCTCGCTGGAAAATCTCCTTCCCACGAAGTCTCAGTTGATAAGCCTCTTCTGCAGTGAGTGTAGTTCGCTTTCCACCGCCGCTTCCTGTAGAAGTTGAGGTAGCCCGGCTAAGATCTTCTCGTGATGTTGCAGTGGAAAGGCGACCTCGACTCTGGGTAGCCGGAGCCTCTGACATGGTGGGTGGTCGTGGGCCCTGCATTGACATCCGCTTTAATTTAGTTGAGGCTGATGTCTTAGTTGCCTCGCCTTGCGGGAGCTTGCCTTGTCGAGCAAGACTGGTAATCGTTTCTCGCGGAATGCTACCCGGCATTAAACTATGACGCACAGGCCTCGCTTTGAACTCCCGTTTCTGTTGTTCCTCTTCTTCTTGTGCTTTGAGCCGGGCCTCACGCTCCTCACGCTTACGGCGAGAGATCGCCTCTCCTGGAAGCTCGAAGTTCGGCTTGGTAAGTGGTTTGCTAGACTTTGGTCTCGGAGGAGGCGCATAAGCTTTCTGAGCCTCAGCCTGTTGGGCTCGACGAGCCTCGCGCTGTTCCTTCAGGCGTCGAGAAACAGCCTCACCAGGAAGCTCAAACTTGGGGACAGTAGGAGGCTTTGTAGACTTGACAGGCGCCTTCAACGGTGCGGGGTGAGAGTTGGTCAGCTTTCCGCGTGCAGCAGTCTGTGGTTTTAAATTCCGGATGATGTCGGAGTCGTCCTGCTTCTTGTCTCTAAATACCAGAGAGGTTGATCGTCGAAGAGGAAGCTGTGGTCTTTCAGTCTGTTTGATGCGGACTGTGGAAGAAATGCCGATGACTGATGCCCTCTTCGAAACGGTCGGCTTCTTACCCGTGGAGGGTGGTTCGAGATGCTTGTTACTGGGTACAGTATTCTCAGGCACAGGAATGCGTTGTGGCTGGGTGAAAGCCTTGATGGCTTCGAGCTCATCCTCAAGTTTATCAAGTTCCTCGAAAGAGTCCTCGATTCGGGGCACCGAGAAGGATCCGGTCCTAGAAGAACCTGCGTAACTGCTGCCTCTCTCACTAATCAAAGTAAGAGAAGGCGAAACAGGCTCTACCGTCTCGACGACCTCGGGAATCTTAAGTGGGACATTCTGATGAAGCTCATATGCTGGAGGCGGAGGCAGTGCCATCTTAACTTGAGAAGGATCAAATCCCAAAGCCAGATACTCCTCAGCAATCAACGGTGTGGCTAGAAGATTGAAGACGTCAGCTTTGGAATTGCCGGCGGGGCCCGGACGTCGTGACAGCAAAGTGCAGCCATGAACCGCTAACTCGACGTCGTGGCGATCGTTCTCACTGTCGTCCGAAGAGCCATGGTCCTTGGAGGTACTTGCTGGCACTGGAAACGCCACGAGCCATTCAAACTGACCTGCTAGATGACTCTCTAAGTTGTGCCCAATTTGAGGCTCTGCATCCAACAACGGGTGTGAATAGACTGTGGTTCCTTTGTGGGCTGTGTTAGCAGATTGCACAACAATGGCACAGGAAATTAACAAGCTGTGACTTGGAGTGATGATGAAAGACGCAAGAAACGAACCTGGAGAAGGTAGCTTGTGTGAAGTTAAAGCTGAAGGCCCACTGGGCGCAATATCAGAGTCACTGGATTCAATTGATTCTTCAGGAACCGCATCGAGGAGTTCGAAGCTGTCGGAATCAACGAGTGAGCGCCGTGGCCCTCGAGGTGTGATTGTCTTTGTTGGCAGATTGATAGGACCGGTCTTCAAGTACAATTTCTGGTTTTGGTTGTTCTCCCTTCGAGATGAGTTCCAAGCAAGACTCTTGTTATGAATATGATCAGCTGAAAGCTCTTGAAGAATCCCTCGAGATGACGGAGAGGGAGAGGGGATCGAAGAGGGACGTGTATCAGAATTGGGCTCGATGAAATTAACATCCTGGCTGGCCTCGGGCCTTGGAGAGACCAGGGTCTCGTTAGTGGCACGGTGGGCTTGGGGTTGATGACCCATGATAGTAGCCATGGATGCGGATATGGATGTGGAAGGCCTCTGAACAATGAGCCTCTTGGACGGAGTTCTCGATGGAGCCGAGGGAGACCCCTAGGCTAACAGCGAGGCTAGAAAGCCAGGGCTGAGCTGTGAGAGGCTCTTGAGAGACAATGATTAGAGATTGGAGCGCCACCAGACGTGTCGTAGTTCAAATTCCAGGGAATATTAGCCAGGGACCTGAGCGCAATTTCACGAGGAGCAGGGATAATAGTATCAAAGCGACGGCCAACAGCGGGGCCTTGTCTGAGTGTGATAAATGCAGAGGCCAATGTGATGTGATGGATGTGATCAAAATCGATGAAACCGAAACGACCAAAATATCTAGCAATGGTGAACGGAGAGAGATGATGAGATGCTGATGTTGATGATGGGGAGGCGAGGGGAAGAAAGCTTGTAAGTTGGGCAACGTCAATAAAAACAAACAACAATGAGAGCCACGGCAACCGCAAACCTGCATATTGTCACCCTACCTACCTACCTACTACAGTCTTTCGCAGTTACAGGCTGTGCCTTCTATTATATTATTACCTCCATCAGGCATTTCGAACACCTTGAATCTCTTTGTTGTTACAAATCCAACAGCCAAACGCCATCTGAACTCTATCCATAACTGTAACCTTCATAAATCAATTGTCGAGTCATGTCTATCATTTCACAATTTCAACGGCTTTTGTCTCCATGAACTCAAAGTTGCGTCTCATTGGTCGACTTATAAGATGACCGCCCCAGAGCGGGAGTCCCACTGTGCAGCTCATACGTACATTAAGTTCCAGGTGGGTTATAACTAATCACTTCAGCTCCAGATGTGTCTAAATAGAATTATCATCTCGGTACTGCGTCTAGCCTATTAGACAGTTAAATATAGGTAAACCCGGTGATTAGAACAGCCAACATCTAAACTTTCTCAAGTCTTTGGAATCTCGAAGTCACTATCAAGCCTGCCGCGTGCCAGACCATTACTGTCTGTACTCTGTATGTACGGAGTATTCTTGGGCTTTCATCTCGTTGCCTAGGGTTGAGTTAATGAGATCCACTTCTACTGCATATGCAGTTCCAAATCACAATCACCAGTAGATATCCACAATTATACTTTGTATCATGATGATTGCTGTAAAAGTTTCACCCGAGGGCTCAAATTAAGCCAGTAAACTCCCAATATTACGTGAATTTTCTTTGTCCTTACTAGAAAGTCCGGAGGAGGGTTGAGAAATCAGCCATGGAAGAGGACATAAAGTACATAGCCACCTATATCGTCGCTCCATACCAATAAGAACTCTATCAACGAAGTTAGGTAGCTACTAAGCCTGTAGGACCTGGCGAGGGAATCATAGCTAAACACGCTCGAATTCTCGTTCAGCCTGCGATAGCTCCACCAGATCGTCCTCGAATCGAAACTTTTGTTGCCTCTTTTCAGCCAAACAGGGGATCAGTCAACGCCGATGCCCCCCTTCAAGGACCACCCCAAGCCCCCCCAGCATCCTGATGCCTTTGGGTTGGGAACTTATAGCCGGAGACGGGAAACCTAGGTGTCTTCTGAGAACAAGCCTGATTTCTGCATGTCAATCTTATTCTTCATGCTGAAAACTCATTTATCCGGAAGCCCCCTCCCAGACATGAGTTCAGATGTTCTATAGATCCCGGGCGGCATTCGAGGCACAATGGGAGCGTGATAGCAGAACACTGTGCTGAGGATATTTGGGAACTGCAAGTGATTGCTGCTGCCTGGCTCAAGAATGCCGATATTTCGTGGAGATGGCAAAAAGCTTGCGATGTCTATCAAATAGATGTTGCATATAGCGTTTACCCATAGAAGCACGCATGAATCGCAAGGCACCTTACAGACTGCCAGATGATATGTCGGCTTCGTAGTTTTTCCCTCATGATAAAGTTTGTTCATGACTCTTCTTCTTCGGCTGCGGCTTCTGCAGCTTCTGCAGCTTCTGCCTGGGCTTGAAGAGCTGGTGCATGCTCGGTTGGAATTCGTACTAGAGTTTGTGGCAGAGGCCCTGTCGAATCTTCCGATACGTTTGTAGGATCAGCTGCCGTCTTGGCCAATTTGGCTATCGGAAAATTAGACAAGACCAACAGTCTTAAACTTTTGATAACCTACAAGAAGCCATGTTGATGGCACGTAGCACATTATGCCAGTTTCCAACAACGGCTGCAATTGCTGCAGGGAGTCAGTCTAAGCACTAGATAGCTTCACATAGGATCATTACCTTCTGTTCCGTCGGATAGGGTTGAGATTTTCTGTTCCAAAGCTTCCATTTGTGTTGCGACCGCTGCGCTGAGCTCTCGAAGCTCTTTGAGGTTTTCGAGTTCGGCCTTTTTCTCTTCGATTCGCGCTAATAATGCCGGTGACTGTCCACTCGATGAAGCCGACGCGCTCGGTGCGCGCATATGCGAGGAGATCGGTCGCGTTGGATAAGACATGGTCGTATTTATGGCGTGTCACCAAACTTGGAATAATTCGCGACGTCTTTAGCAGTAAAGCCCAACACTGCGTTTCCGTCCAACGATGGTGGGGTTCACCGTGGGGTGTTCCGTCACTGGGGCAACCGGCAACCAAGCGCTATGACAAAAAACAGTTACGAGAGTAAATAGATGCAACCAAAAATTCCCTTTTTCAGACCGACATCCAACAACACTCTGTGACTTGTGCGAGAGCATATCAGCAACGTCCCTACTAACTCCACAGGAAGCCTCTGCTCACATTGTCACGATCCATCGCATTATGAGCTATGGCTAGACTGAACGAACCCCCCGTGTCTACGGACAGTCTCGAAACGCGTATGTTCCAACATCTAGAACTCCTGTGAGTAACATGACGCGAACTGACCATGTCTTGTGATCTAGTTCGAAAGAAACTCCTACGTCAGAACCGCGATCTTGCAAAATCAAACAACATACGTGCCCTTCGCATCCGAGAACTCGAGAATGACTGCGCCTGTATGCTATCAGAGAACCTGGAGCTCAGAGGCCGTATCATAGAGCTAGAGAAAGAGCTCGAAGATAACGACACTCGACGAATTGCTGATCATGCACTTGCTATCAAGGCAAAACTCGAATCCCAACTCACAGAATGGGGTACCCTTCTTGCTGGTCTTGGTCTTGAGCCGCCTATGAAGCGACACTCTCCACGACCAAGAAAGTCAACAAAGCCCAGGGTAAGCTTCAGCTCAGCTCGACCCAGTCCTTCACAGCGACGCCTTAGAGATATGGCCCGTGAAATTGAGGAACTGGGACATATTTCAGAAACCAAGTCGTACCCGAGACAGTCCATGAAGTGAGTCATTCGATCAACATAGACAGAAGTTCTCTAACAAGACGCAGCCAAGAACAAATCCTAGCACTTCGGTCAGAGGCCGACAACGATGACATGGCCGACACATCTCAGTCACCAGAAATTGGACCTCCTCCCGTCTCCCATTTCATCGAGGAGGAAGAGGAGCCTGTCAAGGTTGACTCGCCCACACACTCACGCCCTTCACCGACACCTACACCAGCACCCGTACAACAAAGTCCCACAAGGAAACTCGCGCCACCCGAAAAGCTCACATCACCTCAGACTACCAAGACCTTACCGAGACCACCTTCGCCCGAAAAGAAGCCACACCCAAAGGCCACCAAACCTAAGGAACCGGAGCCATTCAAGGCAAAGCCCTTAGCAACCAGTTCAATCGAGACCAATGTACAAGAAATTATCGATGATACCCCAGTACCTCAACCCCAGCCAGTCAAGGTTGGGTCAAAGCGAAAGCTCGCCGCTCGAGATGATATGGTCACGAGCAGATCTCAGAGGGTGAACAACGAAAACGAGCCCCCACGAAACACTATTGACAAGCCTTCAATACGTGAGAAGGCTGGAGGCCGAACATTGACAGAACTAAGCAACATGAGAAAGGACGCTCGTGAAAAGGCGAGTGCGACGGGCACAAGGAAGCCCCTTGCAGCCAAGAGCACCAACGACGATTTGACCTCGCCAAAAAAGAGTTCCAAACCAGTTGTGACCGATGAAGTCGCTGCAGCCAAGGCGGATCTCATGAGATCAAAGGCTTCCCAGGAGCGACCCAAGTCCAGGTCCAAGACCTTGGTCCCTATCACTATCGAAACTGTACTCCAGCCTCCTACGGCCCCTGAGGTTGTGGAGGTCACATGCGGACTCACAACACCTTTCACAGACCCAGCACTTCTCTCTCCCAACTCACCAGATACTGCCGCATCTCAGGAACCCGGACGAGGAGGAACACCTCCACCTGGCGACGTAAACGCGAGCAGAGAACCAGCAAGGCCCAGCCGACGAAATAGGACCGCAGTCAGCTATGCAGAGCCTAACCTCAGAGACAAGATGCGGCGACCCACCAAGGAGATGCTCGACGCTGTTGCTGGAGAAGGCAAATATGCTCGGAGGTCTAGTGTAGCTGAGCAAGCCCCAGACACTACCCGGACGAAGCGTGAGAGCAGTACTGAAGAGTCATGGAAGAATCTGCCCAATACCAACGCCGCCAACACAGAAAACGAGCCAGGTAGCATTCCCGATAGCCCTCTGGCTGGCAAAGGATCATCTCCTGAGATCCCTAAACCTATAGCTATGCGTGGCGGAAGACGCACCTCTATGATGATTCAAGACATTGTTGCCAGCAGCGAAACCTCACACGAAGATGGAGAAGTCAAGGAGGAGACGGCTTCTGACACTACTGGTGTCAGTGAAGTTGATGTTTATGAATTCACACCCTCATCACCACAAAATGACGAAGAAGCTTCTGCCGATATCAAGAAGAAGGTCACTACCCGTCGACCGTCCCGGCGTGTTTCCTCAGCAGTTCACACCGAGGATGGCGCTGGAGCTAGGGAGCGAGCCTCATCTAGGCGAAGGAGTATGATGCTGTAATGATGCATATTGCAATAGCGGGAGTTCGGTAGAGCATTTGGGCGTTCTTGTCATTTGTTGTTCTTGTTTATTCAAAAGGAGTATGTTGCTTGTCGGCGCTGATACTGCTTCGCTGGATCATACAGACTGGTCACATGCCCAAGATACCTCTACAAAGCGATGAATAATGGTGTTTATTTTTGCCAATATTTGTATTTACAGTTTTAATGTCTTTATTGGACACACACAAGACCCAATTGGTCAACATTTGGCAGTTCGTCTTGCCAATTGATGCTTTGTTGGATATGTAAGTCCCATCTCGTGGTCTTCCAAAATGTGACTGGGTATAAATTCTGCTGCTGATCTTGAATACGTCGCTGAATGTAAACTCCCCCTATCTATATGAATTTCATGATGATCCTCCCGCTGAAGGTTCAACTGGTTTTGTGTATGTAACCTTCTCAACCGCCACGTTCTCATTGCCCTTGTCGTCCTTTCGTAATTGGTAGACGTATAGGGTGAGTGAAATGCCTTGGACCTAGGGTAGTCAGTAAACAAACTCAAACATGGACAATTTGTAAAGCACGTACATCCATGAGACAGAAGCTTGGTGTTGGCTCTTCGCTCTCCAGCCCTGACCCCTCTATGAATGCGCCAGTCGCACTTCCAGGATTTACAAAGAACTTGTCCATATACTCGAAGGCATCAAAGCGGTGAGTGCCACCCCAGCACAGAACATCCACATCTAATTTGTTCGCCTCGGCCAGAAGAAGGTCAGGCTCATTAGAGACAAGTGTGAAGCCCTCTAGAAATCCAATTCGGAGGCTTCCGTGGGTGACAACCTGCGTCAATGGCAGGGAAGTGGCCTCGACGTCATAGCGGCCTTTCACGATCTTCAGATCGGGGGAGACGGATCGCAAGTACTCGTACGTGTGCTTATCGGTCAAGTTTCCGAGGCAAAGCGTCTGGCTGATCTTTCCGGGAGAGAGGAGCTTCTTGAACTACAGATACAGAGACGCTGTTAGCGATGCGCGCGACCTTGGAAGCACCACGCGTACCTTGGCGGGAATGTCGAGCGCCCGATCCGGGATGTGGAGGTCTCCTATGACAAGAATGAGGAAAGCCATGATGTTTCTGTAAGGACGGAAGAGAAATCGAGGCTATAGACGTATTCGCGATTGAGTAACGAGAGGCGCGAGCTGCTAACACCTTACCCAAGGTCAGCTCCGAGGGGCACAGCTACAGCCCAGTACGTACGTAGGCGCTCGGATACAGCGGTAAGCTGACGCCACATCCTCATAACGGGGAGGATGACAGATGTGGCTAGCTTCATCCACCGAGAAAGTCCACATCAAATTCTTATCGGTTCAGCGGGGTGCGATAAGCAAGTAAAAATTTGGGAATTTTTGGCTGGGGTCTCTTTTCACCGAACGATTAATCCAGTTGGTGGTTGCGCATTGAATTGCTCAGAATCAAGATGGCGACCCCTTCTCTGGCTGAAAAGCTGGACAAGATCAAGTCCCCTGGACTTCAGAGTCAGAAGAGGGTATGTTTCACTTTACTTTGTCCTTTTCAGCGTATTCAATCTTGGGTCGCACACTAACAACTTTTGCTTGTAGACTGTCGTTGTACTTCAGGCCGTCGAGTCGACTCTCAAGGAACAGAACACGGCTCCTACGCCAACAGGATACTTTGCCGCTCTTCTCGCCCTCCTTCAGCAGGCGAACAGCAATGACACTGTAAACCCGGAATTGGCGACTCCTGTCGTCTACCTTCTCGACGTCGTTACGCCTTATGCCCCACAACCTCTGCTCCGATCCAAGTTTACACAGATTCTTACTCTTCTCGCCCCCGTACTTTTGTTGCAGGATGCCGAAGCCCCGTTGTTGCGATCGTCCATAGGATGTCTCGAATCTCTTCTTCTGGCCCAGGATGCCGCTTCTTGGGAGCTTTCTGTCTCCCAGATCGGTCCTCGACGAGCTGTTGCTGGACTCTTGAACATGTCTGTTGACCACCGACCAAAGGTGCGAAAGAGGTCGCAAGATGCTCTGAAGACGGTTCTTCGAAACCCGCCTCCGAGTCCCTCCCTGGATCACCCTGCTGCCGACATGTGCGCCCAGACTGCTACCAAAAACCTAGAGGATCTCGCCGGCAAGATTGCGCAGGCGCGCAAGGGAAAGAAGGCTGATGTTAGCCATGACCCTGCTATGATCCACGCTCTTCAACTGGTCAAGACTGTCGCGGCTGCCAGTGGTGGCTGGCCTAGCAAGAAGATCGAGTCTCTGTGTGAACTCCTCTTGGGCATCGCAAAGAGCGGAAACGAGTACATGACCATGGCGTCTTTCGAGATTTTCGAGATGATCTTCGAGGGTATGACAGATGAGGTCTCATCAGCCAAGCTCCCACGACTTATGGAAATTATCTCCGAATTGCGACCAGCTGCCAACGACACCCAGCTTGTTCCCCCGTGGCTCGCCATTCTGTCCCGAGGATACGATGTCTCCGCCCAGGTCGAGCCTGAGGAGACTTTCCAGAACCTCCCCCAGCTGTTTGATATGGTTGCACAGTTCCTTGAGGCACCCTCCGAGAATATTCGAATTTCCGCCTCAGAATGTCTAGTGTCTTTCATGGCCAACTGTATCCCTCAAAATGTTATCCTTGAACCTTCAATTTTTGACGAGAAGGTTCTCGAGAAGCTGGCCAAGTCAGCAGAGTCTCTTTTGACTGTTCAGTTTCAGGCTGCCTGGCTCCAGACTTTCAACGTTTTGGGAGCCATGTTCGATACTTTGAGATGGAGGTCTTACCCTATCATGATGAACGTCACGAAGACTATCGGCGAAATTCGAGAGAACGGTTCTTTCCGCAACAAGAAGGAGGCTGACGAGGTGATTGGAAAGGCTATCCGAGCAATGGGTCCTGAGGCTGTTCTCTCAATTCTCCCTCTCAACCTCGCGAAGCCAGCAAAGGGCCAGCCAGGCCGTGCTTGGATGTTCCCTATTCTACGAGATTACACTAGCAACACAAACCTAGCTCACTTCAAAAGTGAGATGGTTCCTCTCAGTGAGGTTATGTTTCAAAGGGTTCTTGACCATGGACAGGCTGAGAAGACAATGGAGGTCAAGATTTACGAAACAGTTGTCCAGCAGATCTGGTCTACTCTTCCCGGATACTGCGATCTTCCTCTGGATCTTACCGATGCTTTCGACCAGGGCTTCGCCGAGATTTTGGCTAACCTCCTGTACAAGCAAGTTGAGCTGCGACTGGATGTATGCAGAGCGCTCAAGACTCTGATCGAGTCCAACCAAGCTATTGCCAATATTGAGGACCAGGAGGAGGATCTCGTTCTTCAGAGCCGAGTTAGCCGTGCTGATGCCAAGAAGAACCTTGAGTACCTTTCCAACTTTGCAGGCAACATGCTTGCAGTCCTCTTCAACGTTTACACGCAAACTCTTCCTCAAAGCCGAGGTCCTATCCTTCAGACCATCAACACCTTCCTTAGCATCACACCCAACGCGGAGTTGATGGAGACTTTCGATCGAGTCAGCACTATGCTTGCCAGCGAGTTGGAGAAGGAGAAGCCAGCGGATAAGAAGAAAGAGAACCAGAAGTCCAAGGATCACATGCCTTCAACAGCCCAGACATTGATGGACCTCGTCATCACAATGTCCGTTTATCTCCCCAGGGAAAGTTTCGCTGCTCTTTTCAAGATTGCCGAAGTCATCATCAACAAGGAGGAGGAGCCTCAACTTCAGAAGAAGGCTTACAAGCTCATCCCCCGCCTAGCGGATTCTGAGATCGGAAAGGCTGCTCTTCAGGAGAGAAGTGCTGAGCTCCAGCAACTTATCTTCTCTAGCACCGAGAAGGTCTCAGCTCCTGCTCGACGAGAACGCCTTGCGGCCATTATCGCCCTCCTACCTTTCATTCCTGACACCTCCCTTCACTTCATTCCTGCTGTGCTCAGCGAAGTTGTCATCTCTTGCAAGGAGAACAATGAGCGTGCCCGTGAGACAGCATATGAGCTCCTGGTTCGCATGGGACACCGTATGGTCCAGGCTAATGGAACACCCATCGACAACAGCAAGGTTCCTCACATGCCCGGCGATGCCCCTGCTGGAACCGCTAATATCGAGGAGTTCTTCACTATGGTCAGCGCTGGTTTGGCTGGCAGCACACCTCACATGATTTCAGCTTCTATTACGGCCATCAGCCGACTTCTATATGAGTTTCGAAGCGAACTGAGCGACGCTACTCTATCTGACTTGGTCCAGACCATGGATCTTTTCCTTACTTCCAACAACCGAGAGATCGTCAAGAGCTGCCTGGGCTTCGTCAAGGTCTGCGTTATTGGCCTCCCTGTCGAGCTCATGCTTCCTCGTCTCTCAACTCTCGTGCCCAATCTCATTGTCTGGAGTCATGAGCACAAGGGCCACTTCAAGGCCAAGGTCAAGCACATCCTGGAGCGCATGGTCCGTCGCTTTGGTTATGATAATATTCACAAGAACACACCTGATGACGACAAGAAATTGATCGTCAACATCCGCAAGACCAAGGAGCGTTCCAAGAAGAAGAAGGATGCTGCCAAGGGTGAGAACGACGGCGACGATAGTGACGACGACGAGGCTCAGCCCAAGCGCCAGTTCGAGAACGAATACGACCAGGCCCTTTACAGCAGTGACTCTGATGATGATGATGGTGAATCCGAAGATGAGGCTCCTAGGCAAAAGAAGAAGGCCCAGAAGGGTGGCAAGACATACATTGTTGAAGACGACGACGAACCCCTCGATCTGCTCGACAAGAAGGCCTTGGCCAACATCTCTTCTACTAAGCCCGTTAAGATGCGCAAGCCCACACGCACCAAGGCCAAGGTCGACCTTGACGGCAAGCTCATCCTCGGCAAGGATAGTGATGACGAGGGTGCCATGGACGTCGACGAGCCCAACCCTGAAGCTTCAGGTGTTGGTGCCTACGTTGCTGCTCTCAAGGGCAAGGACGTTGCCAAGCGCGGTCGCGGAGGCAAGCTCAAGTTCTCCAACCGTCGCACCAAGGACGACGATGACGAGGATTTCGAGATGGATGACAACGATGTTGCGGCAGTCAAGAGCAGGATCAGCCCTGGACGGGATAGGGGTAGCCGTGGAAGCTTCCGCGGTAGAGGAGCCGGTCGTGGTGGAAAGAGTGGAAGAGGAGGCATCGCTGCAGGACGAAAGGGACTTGGTGTTGAGAAGAGACACGGAGTGTCTGGCGTGGGAAAGCCTAGGAGAGGACGCAACTAGATGCCATAGTTATACCCATTCGATGCGTCATGAGGTTGCGGTATTCGTTTTATTTTTCAAGTTCGAGTTTAGATCATGGGCGGTTTTAGGGTAAATAAAAGTCAAGCAATCATGAAGTTCATTCGTACACGGTTCATCGTCGTATCATGGGGAGTAAAAGGCCTCGTCCAAACGTCTAACAATTCAAACACTAGTTCTTGTAGTAGTCAATTCTTTCCTCCGAACCGGGGTATCATCAGATCATGCCATCGTTCAAAGTTCATTCCATTGCCATCACTTTTGCCGGACTGCAATATCAACAATGTAGCCTCCAACGCCTTTTCCATGCTCAACGCGCTCAAATACTTTATGCACATGCATTATGATGTGCAAAACAAGCAGTATCCGCAATTCTCCAAATCATCTTGCAGCATTACTCAAGCACAATTACATCCTCCATTCGACGCGGGTGCAGTGGCCGAGGTCGTCCGTCTCCTCCAACAACGGGCTCTTCTCGGTAGTATCGATGCACTGGCTCCCGATGCTGAAAGGGTTCGGGTACTCGTTCTTCGTAACGACTATATCATGTGAGTGTTTTTCTGATTTGACGAGCTACAATCTGCTTACACCTCGCGGTATGGTTCGTAGCCTGGTGCTAACGGCTGATTTATAACGGAACGAGGCTCTGGGCCAGGTGGATTATAACGGACGGGACGAGGGTCTCGCTCGGAGTAGCTTCTAATATCACTTCGAGCTCCTGAAGCCACAGGGACACGGGCTGGCCCAGCCCGGTTGTCCGTTACGATAGGGCGATGTCGATCTTCCAGAGATACGCGATTGATGGGGATCATCTCAATGTCTGCGTTGGTTCGGTT